GTTTATTCTTTTTATAGATTTTGAATATAATAACAAAAATATTTTTGAATAGGTAATTGTCATGAGATCGACAACCACCAATTAATCTTTCATCAAAATCTTATGGGCAAATTCAAAAACAACAAACTGAAATTAATTTAACAGATATGAATAAAATTCAAGAAAAAAATAAAATTTTGTCATATTATTATAATTATTGAGATAAGATAGGCAGAGTATATCTACAGAAACTGTCATATTGACCTGCTTAACATGATTTTTCGAGGATGTTCATTATACTGACGTTATTACCTTTTTTGGTCTAGTATAATTATTTTTCAATTATTAGATTATTAATTTTACGTATCAATCAAGTCTAGATTTTAAAAAAGAATAAAATAAACATTCAAGAGGGAGACTAAGACGTTTAAGAAAACTATAAAATGGTATGTATGATCTCATGGCAAATAACATGTCTGGTTGATTCGTTAGTCCCAATACTTTACTTCATAAAGGCTTATTATTGTTAGATTGACATTAAGGATCTTCAACTCATATTTGTGACTTTTTTATTGAAGAAAAAAGTGGAATAGATCAATACATGGATCTTCAATTCATTTTTTATAATGATGATGATGATAAAAACATTGTGAAACAATATTCTCTTTGAGAAAGTACAATAATCGAAATAAGCTCTATCAATTATAGTACTCTAGAAGAATTATACTCTTAAGTTGGAAATTTATTAAATTTTAAATGAAAGTTAATTAAATTTAAGGTTTTTCTTGGTCTGTGTGAAACATGCTAGAAGTGCTTTATAAATAGAGGTAGAAGAGTATATGTTAATCAAATAGTAAAGACTTCAAATTTTCCCAAAGTAGATAGAAGGGATAAATTCCAAAAAGGAATGAGACTAAATTTCGGCAATTCACTTCAACAAAGGCCTGCAATCCACTGAACTTATGGGCACAGTGATATTTTTTTTGAGGTTCTTGTTCTTCCAAGTTACTCTTGACAAAGAAGACCTGCTAATTGAGATGATTCTGAAGACCCTTGCATTCTTCATACTATATCTTGCAAGCTTGAATTCGTTATTATTGCCTATTGGCTAGGTAGTTGCCAAGATGAAATTTCTTTAACTTCGATGAAACTGAGGAACATCACCTGTCGGTTCAAAGCTTCCCCTACAACAAAGCCATCCAAACGTATGTAATAAAGTTAGGATTAACTAACGAGATGGTAATGAACACAAAAGAAATGTTGAAAATCAACAGACCATATGAATCACAAGAATTTCAAGCTTGGGACAGCTTTGAAGATATTTCAATGTTGTTTCCCAGTCATGAGAATATTCTTCGAATTCCAAGTAGGTTAGATTATAAAATGTAGGAACCTCAGGGCTGATGAGTGGTAAATTATGCTGCAAGAGGAAGGCCAAACAAAGCTAAAGATTGAGCTATATTGAAGCTGTGAATGAATATCACCAAAAAGAAAATGTGCAAATGAAAAACAATAGCATACATTTACTAATATCATCAGAAACCATACCTTATGTAAGCATAGAAATTTAACATTAGACAATGCTTTCAATGGAAGTAGAAATTGCGGAACTTCTCAGTGACCAAATGGTTAAGTGCTCCAATGCAAGCAGAGAGTGAAAGTTTACTTCCAAAGATTGTAATACCAAGTGTTTAAGCAAATCACATGCAGAAAGAAGCATTTCCAAGCTTCTAACATTTGAAAATTTAACATATTTCAAATGCAATACTTCAAGCAGAGGCAAATTAACATGAGAAAGAGTGCCAGCCACTGTTAGTTCTCCCCTCAACTTTAAAACATTAATGTTATGAGCAGTGAAAACACTAGAGGGTAACTCATAGTCATTCTTCCTCCGGTACAAGTGGAGCTCCAAATGTTCAACTTTATTACTAATCACAGCATTCATCCACTCGCTAAACGTCTGCGGTCTAAAATACTCACAAGATTTAAAGTATTCACACCGAAGTACGAACTTTTTAACAGATTTCAAATCTACTAATTCGATCATTTTGTCTACGAATTGATGGAAGAATGTAAACTTTCAAAATTTTTGAAAGCCACAGTGGTCTCCATGTCTTGGATTAGAGGCTTGTGGCAACTGCATCTTTAGCGGAAGAAAAGAGAGAATATGGAGAAGCAAAGATTCTGGCAAACCGCTGATCCTGTCCCACATTTCTTCTGTTATGCGCATTTGTTTATGGACACTGGCAGCTCAGGCCTTTAGAGATCCTTTTTTTGTCATTTGTGGCAACTGTTTCTTTGAATGAACTGAGTTTGAAATGAAGATTATGTTTGAAGTTTGAACATCACAACGGGCATGGCAATTTTATGTTATAAAGAAAAAACTGATGAAGAAGAAGAAGAATATTGAGGAAGGAAAAGAATGGCCAATGGCTCTACAGTTGCCTGAAGACATGCGAGTTTGAAAGTAGATATATTCCTCACGTTTTTCTAGTCTCTATTGATGACTGGAAAACGAGTAGTTCAAAATCAACGAAGTTTCGATGAAAATTATTCAATACTAATTTATACTTCTCATGTTCTATTTACAGGGTAGAGATATAAGATATTTTTTTGTTCTATTTATAGAGTACTGAGAAAAATTTTTTATATAAATGTACAATTTTATCCTTCATTTATTATTGTGTTGATTTTATTTACATAAAGTATAATATATATTAAATAAGAATAAATTTAAAAATTTATTAAATTTTAGATAAGAATTAATAAAATTTAAGATTTTTCTTACTATGTGTTAAATACGTTGGTTATAAATACGAGAGGAGTAATTTGTATGATATTCACCGAAAAAAAAAGTGTGCTAATTTTTATCGTACTAGTACCACCAATTAGTAGATAACAACACACATGCGGGGTCATAGTTATATTATGACTTATAGAGTACTCAGTCCTAGTAAGTAGTAATTGTGACTACTGCTGATGCTCAATTCTATTCTTGATTGTTTTTTACTTATGTAATTTTATCTCTGTCTTTTTTTATTAATTTTCCTTTTGATATTTAGGTGCCATTTAATCAGGAATAAAATTACGTCCCTAAAAGAATAAAAATAAAATTGCACGTAAAAAATGAGAAGTAAAATTTTAATCTTATCATAAAAAAAAGACTGATATGATGTCAATTAATGTTTGCATAGAAAAGTAATGATTAAAAAAAAATGAAATATTGTTCCAATAAATGTGTGCTAATAATAACAACGCTGTTTTTGAAATGAAATTAATTTTAATTATTTTTCTTAAATTGTATGGTTTTTTTTTTTTTTGAGAGTGTCTTGTGATAGAAGAACAAAATTTGCAGCAAACATCCCCCGAGTTGATATTGCAACTTTTATATTGTATCCATCTGATATCTCTTGTTTAACTTTAATTTAATTCTCATTTTTAGTTATGTTAAGCCTTTTTTTTCCATCTTCATATTGTGAAATTAACTGATCACTACTTTTATTTTAAATATAAGACATATTTTGAAAAGTTTAATATTTTAATAGAGTATATAAGATATTTCTATGAATTTTTAAGGATAACGAATGCCATTTTGAAGTCAACATACTCCTTTGTTGGTGCGGACATTACTCAACAGATATGTTAGAAATTTGATGGTTTTGTGGTAAAACTAAAAGAGCTAATAGCTGTGATTTGTGAAGGTCCAAATCTTTCAAACCAGAGATCTTCCGCTTCCTGACTATTTTTTACCAATGTATATCTTGGTACTTCCTTAATTTGTTTATTTTTCAATATATAGACCTAAATTAAGGGATTGAAATTTGGTTTTCCATTCCATTTCTCCCCTTAAATATTGTCATAAGAAAATGCATTTTTTGCTAGAAGTATTTTTAAGAAATTAATTACCCCTATAAGTTTTTTGTTTATTCGGATCTAATTACGCCTATAATTTTGCCACAATAAACTACAATTATAAAAGCGACACCTTTCTTTCTTTCTTTTTTAAAATATAAGTGTGAAACCATTTGAGAATATATCCAGAACAGATTTTTTTCCCGCCAAATAAATCATGAACGTCCAAGAAAAATCGGACTGTTCTTTCTGCAGGCTACTCCCTCCCATTCAAAATATAAAATAAACTTTTTTAGAAGAATTTATTTTTTTATAAGATAACATTCATTTATTTAAATATTTAACAAGTTATTTTAATTTTATCCCTAACATATTAACTGTAATTTTATTAATTCATTTATTACACCTTTTACTTATTTTCTTAGTTAATACGGGCAAATTTGAGAAAGAAAATATATGCCATACATATTTATTAGGAAAAATAAATATCTTGCTCCTTATAATTTTAACACATTTACAATTCAATCTTTATAGTTTTGATTTAATTGTAACTCAATCTTTAAAGTTTGACTTGGACTCGCTGTAACTCAGTTTTTATATTTTTACCCATTTTATAATCTTATTTTATTCAAAACACAAGAGCTAAATTATAAAATGGTTAAAAGTATAAGAAACGAGTTATAATGAGTCAAATTTTAAGAATTAAATTACGATCAAGTTAAAACTATAAAAATTGAGTAGCACCAAATGCATAAGAGTTAAATTATAAATGAGTTAAAACTATAAGAACCAAAAGATTAATTATCCTTATTTACTATTTTAAACTGATTTCAACTAATTTTTTAATAAATATAAATGGATAAAATTTATTTTATATTTTGATAGGAGAGAGTAGTTGAGAATAAAATTCCCACAAATTAGTTATATATTTAATGATAGAAGTTCAAAGAAAGATCTTAGAGAAAGGCCCCAAAAAAGGGAAGATCTTAAAGACTTCATCCCCATTTCACTTTTGAGATTTTCCCTGCTAAAACGCATATTCACGCGCCTATAACGCCAAGCAACCTCCTTACAGATTAAGATTCTCACCAATCCCGTAACAAAAAGTTTGAGGGCTAGTGAATCAAATCAAAAGTATCAATCTGGCCCAAAAAAAAAAATCGAAAGTATCAAGAAATCATAAATACAAGTGGTTGTTCATGCTTCCCAGAGCCTGATTTCAGATTTTCTGCTAATTTTTCGAACCTCGGGAGCTTATACTCCCTTGAACTATGACAAATGGAGACAGTCCTCAAAACTCCAGCATGCTTTATTATAAATTCTACCATTTCTAACGCACTTTCAGAACCTTCGAAGTTAAGAAGAGTGAATTCTTTCAGATGTAATGAAACACATGAAGGCACATCAAGTATTGGTTGAGGAGGGGACGTAGAACAAAGCTGGCACAATACAGAAATTCAAGTTAAAAACAAACAAATCGAGGCATTGCACTTGAAAAAAATTGAAGTCTAAATCTTCAAACCTCGTAAATTACAAGCTTTTCTAGTTTAGGGAAGTTTTCAAGGCAGTTCACCATCCTAGTCCACTCTTCAGCATGACATTCCAGGTGGATTAAATTGTGAAACATTGGGATATCTTCATTAAACGGCCATTTAACCTGCTCTGAATCCTAAAACAGACTGAAAATTAGGAATTGAAATCTTAAGGGAAAGAGGAGAGAAATTTACTTATCATGCGAGATTCATACCTGAGGTTGAAATAAGCGTAGAAATGTAACATTAGAAATGACCTTCAATGGAAGCAGAGTTTGTGGAACTTCTGCACTGACCAGATGGTTAAGCCCTCCAATGTCAAGTGTAGGGCAATCGCCCACATCCGAAATTTTTAGTACCAATTCTTTAAGCAAAGCACATGCAGAAAGAACCATACCCAAGCTTCTAAAATCTGGAAATTTAACATTCTCCAAATACAATACTTCAAGCGAAGGCAAATTAACATGAGAAAGAGTGCCCAGGGTTACTCCATTGCTCAACCAAAAACCACTAGTTACTCCCCTACATTTCAAAACCTTAATGTAATTCGCAGTGAAAACAATAGAGGGCAACTCATAGAAACCCTTCTGCGAGTCCAAACGTAGCTCCAAGTGTTCCACTTTATTACTAACCACAGCATTAATCCACTTGCTAATCATCCGAGGTCTAAAATACTCACGGGGTTTATAATGATCACACCGAAGAACAAACTTTTTGACAGATTTCAAATCTACCAATTTCAGCACTTTGCCTACGAATTGATGGAAAAATGGAAGACTCTTAAATTTTCTACGGTTAAAGTCAAGAGCGGGAAGGGAATGCCATAGTGATCTCCACCTCTTGGACAAGAGACTTGTGGCAACTGCTTCTTTAGTGGGAAGAAAAGAGAGAATATGAAGAAGCGGCGAGTCTGGCAAACCACTGATTCTGTCCCTCATTTTTACTTTTGTTTTGCACTTTTTGTTTGTGGAGGACATACCGACGATGAACAAGAAGGGAGAGACGAGCAAAACGAAACAGAAAAAAGAAGGACGAAAACTGAAGAACAAAGAGGAAAGAACAGAAAACACCAAAAAAGTGAGATAGAAAAACAATTTTTTATGGTAATCGAATGAGCATAAATTAGAACATGATATCTAAACAACCGAGTCAAAGTACTTGGAGAGACAATTGCTGAGACAGGTAGAGGAAATGATGAATGACTCTGATTGATATAGGTGCTTGAAGGCATAATTAATAATTTAGAGGTCCGAAAAGGGCGCCTTTACGTTTTCCGAGCCTTTTAGGTGGTGGTGAATTGAGATCTCGTTTTTTAATGTTCTGATGGTGGCCCTAGGAAGCTATGCTAATTGTGATTCCTGATGTGACATTTTAAAAAAGTCGAGAAAATTTAAATAAATAAAAAGTAGAGTATATTTTAGAAACCATTTTAAAATATCATAAAAAATTAGAATTTGTATTATATAAAAAGGTAGAGGAGATAAGAAAGTGACCTTTATCTCGCACTTAATTACACCGAAATCCAAATATGTATCACAAGACAATGCTACTGTTTAAAGAATGTCAGGAATCATTGAACGTTGCCACTTGGGACGAAGTGTACGTGTTTTTAAACAAACGAAAAGCAATTGAACATTGTATATGATCGCGCAATAGAATTTAAAGTCACCCCCAATAGTGATGATCACATGAATGCCCGTAACAGTCTTTTCAGAGCTTGCTTTGATCAGGATTTAATGAATTATTGCGCCTTCTAGTCTTCTACAAATGTAAATCTTTAAATGAGGCTGGTCAAAACCCAAAAAAAAATAAAAAATCTTTAAATGAGGACCAGGGAAGGAGGACAAGGGATGATGGGATGAAGCTTCGGAAAAGGATCCTCTCGGAAATCCCTTCTCCTCATCTTCTTTTTAAAATCCTATATTCATTATTAGATTTCAGATATAATATTTGATAAAACTATTAAGGATAAGATGCTATATCCCAAAAATATTTACAAAACAGCAGAGCACTCAATATCCAGAATTTTTTTTTAGCTCTTACATGTTTTAAAAGTTTATTTTCATAGCAAAAATATTATGCTCATTATTCACTGTTAAATTTAACTATTAAATTATACGGTTTGATCAGCGTTTTTGGCATTCAAAATTAATTGTGGATAACAGTTCAAGATAAAAAAATGTTACGAAATAAAACTTCCGGAACATATAAAAACGAAAAAACTTTTAAATATTGGGTGTTTATTCGTGTATATATAGTGGGAGATTATAGAACAAAAAATAAATTCGCTCGATTTCAGACTTGGTACAATCTAAAGTCATCATTCTCTTTGATTTGCACAAACAAAAAATAATTGGCATGAGTTGTCATTACTTGTCGCGATAGTTGTTAATCACTGTACTTTAAGTTGTTAATGACTAATTTTTTTAGTTATTATTTCATATGTTAAAAAATTTAAAAATTAAATAAATGAAATCTCTTGCAATGAAGCTTTTTAGGGTTTTAGATTAATTTAATAATTTTAAAAGGTTCTTTTTTTGTATTTAATCCTCTTAGGTAAAACCTTATTATATTTTTCTCAAAAAATAATAATAAAAATAAGACTAATACCCACTACAAATTTGCAGATAGCTATACATTTGGGAGGGTCATAAATTACGTACATTGTAACGTCCTGAGTTTTATTTTGAGTTTTGGCAGTCCTTTTTGGTTGATTTTGAGGATAATTGGTGTTTAAACTTGAATCTTGGTGTCTGGTTTAGGATCAAAGTGAGTTGGAGGAGCACCACGGCGAATCACAGAGTATTGGGAGAGTTTCCTTTCAGGAATAGGGTTTCGTTGCGGCAAAGTTAGTGGGCGCCGTGACAAAAGATGCTCAAGTGAGCGAGAGTTCCTCTCGAAAAAATCTCTCACCGTGACGAAGTGTAAGTTGGCTGTGACGAGGTTGGTTTTCTGACCAGCGTTAGTTAGTCGCGACAAAGGCTTGAGTTTGTCGAGACGAAAAGGTCGCGTCTTTAAATACAAAGGCAGGGTCTGATGTGTGAAAATCATATTTTCTGAATGTGGGAGTTGGAGCTCCGCTAGGGCTTCGTATTTTTGGCTTGGGAAAGGTGTTTCTAAGGGTCTATTACCTCAAGGAAGTGAATATAACCTCTAATCTACTCTTTCTCATGGGATTTTTGAGGATTTTGTAGTGGAACCGTAGGGCTTTCTAATTTCTGATGGAATTAAGGTTTTTGACCTATTATTTTGAGTTTAAATGATTGTTATGGGTTAGTCTAAGTATTTAATCGGTGTAGTATTCTTAGATTTGGAGATTTTGAAGTTTTGGGAATTTGGGGTTTGTGAAAATAGGGGTTATTGATTGAGGATGATAATATAGTGGTTGAAATTGAGTTTTGTGAATTGGGTTATGTTAAGGAGGGTTGAATTGGATGTTTAATCAGTTTAGAATGTTGTTAAGACTTCAATTGTTCTAATTGGGTGTTTAGATGATGAATTCCTAGAGTGGGACTTTGAGTTTCTGAATTCAATTGATATTTTAGAAGGGGAATTAAAATGATAATAGTCTCTTATGGTTTTTAGAGTGTTGCTATGCTGGTTTGGCCCTTGTGAGTTGGGTAGAGTTTTGGTTGAGGTTAGAAATTTTGAGTCCCCAAGTGTTGTGTTGACCATTTTGTTAGTTTGTTAACTAATACGTGGTGATTGTGCGTTTGTGTGCTTATGTAGACTTGTTGTGAGTATTTGTTGGTGCACGGGACATCGTGGTGTTTTGTTATTCCTTGCTCAAATGAGAGGTAACCACTTTTCAATCCTTTGTACATGCTATTATGGTATTATGAGTGGTTTTATGTTTTCGTGCTCTGAGTAATAAACGGTGTTCTAAATGTATTTTATATATGGAAAGAGAAATTGTCTTGTGAGGTTTTGCATGATATTAAGGTATTGGTAGTTTTGGAAGATATGTCATTTGTTGAAGTTACTCATGAAATGCAAACTTATTCATTGGTAAATATTTGAGCATGATTCATGTGTTGGGAAATGGTGAGAGACTTGGTTGATACTATCACGTGGTAAGGCCTCCATTAATGCATGATAGTTGGCTCCTGACGTCCCTGATAGTGAGGGATAGGCTTTCATGGCTTCTTATGTCACCTATAGTGAGGGATAGGCCGGGTTCGGCTCTTGAAAAATCCCCCATAGTGAGGGATATAGTTGATGGGATTGCATCATTGCACATGCATGATCGTTGTGGCTATCACTTACAATATTATTTGTTAATTGTCCCATGTGACACCTCACGAGCACCTATTTAGTTTGTACCCTGAATTGGAAGTTGGTTACCGAGACTTTGTCTCACCCCATGGTTTATAATATTTTCAGGTGAAGGTTCTAGGCGTGCACCTCCAAGGAGGGATGCGGAGACTTGAGCTTGGTTAGCCGTAATGCCTCTAGTCTGTGTATGTGTATGGATGGTTGTATATTGCCACACATAGGGACTTTCAGAAATATTTTGATTGATTGGTCTTATTGTAAACTGGAGGAAGTTTTATCTCCTTATTTTGGGTGACCGAAGGCCATTTCTAGTGTTTTATGATACTTAGGTTTATGTTGTTGAAAAACAAGTGTTTGGGCTTATGTATGATATCTTTTGTTACCTAGGCTGGAGGCTCGGAGGCCCAATAGATTTAAAGGAATTATTTGGTTGCATGCAAAAGTTTTGTTTGGGCTTTGATCCATAGGTTTGAATGTCCGTTTCTAAATTTATGCAAATTTCTTTCTACTATAGTAGTTTGTTGTAACAATTTTTCTTTTCTACCATAGTAGTAGTTTATGACAAGTTTATAATGTTAATAGAGAAGAAGGTTTACATACATTGTCACCATTGATATGAGTGACACGTGGAAAATAAAAATACAGTTCTATTCATAATTTTTTTTAGGAAAATGATAAATAAAGACCCCTGAATTATCAAAATTGCAAAGAGGTCACCTGAATAAGTCAAATTAACAAGAGGGACCCGGTCTCAAATTACAATTACGAAATGTTGGGGAAAATACAAAAATGCCCTTATTTATTCTATCTCATCCTCTCCTCTTTCATTCTTTTCTTCCGCAATTGCCAGTTTTCAATTTTTAGTCCTTCCAAGTTCCCAGGTTGAATATAAGCAAGAAGCTCCATGATGCTAATGCTAAGTTAAGCCCAACGGATTCATCTCTTGAGGGTGATGCTTGACTACTTTGTGTCTTATTTCATTTAATTGCCGCTGTTGTGGCATTGTGCATGAATGGTTTCATGAGTTATTGATTTGGTCAGCAAGGAACCAATTAATTTGTTCGAGAAAGATGCTTTCTTTGGAGGCTTTGATCAAACAGATAAAGGAGCTAGATAATTTTTCTAATCTAGCTTTGAAACCCTTAAGATTGGCCATTATAAATATGAAGACAGAGAAAAAGGATGAGAACCTTCAAGTCTGCAGCTACTAGGGAGATGGGTAGACCTTAATGCTCAAGAAGCAAAAATTTAAAAATGGAAAACTCTGCACAGTATGGGTTGGTTTTCAAGCTCATTCACCACATAAATTGTAATAGAGTTTGGAGTAATATGATAATTGCATTTAACTTTGCTCTGTTTGAAAAATCATTTTAACACAATCTTAAATTTTTATGAATTTCTTATCAGAAGTTGACATTCATCTTACTAAACTTGCCAGTTGCCTTACTAAACTTGTCATAAATTACTTATCAAAACTTGTCATCTGCTAAAGAAATCTGAAAATTCTGTCATTTGAAAAGAGAAAATTAAATTTTTATGAATTGCTTATCAGAAGTTGTTATTTGCCTTACTAAACTTGTCATTCACCAAGGATGTTTAGTAAGGTGTATGACAACTTCTGATAAGCAACTCATAGGAATTTAAGATTCTGTGTTAAATTTGCACAATTCCTTAGCAAATGATAAGTTTAGTAAGGCAAATG